GAAGTCCTCATTGAGTTGGTTGAGCGCAAATTTGGCCAATCCTTTGAAAATTGGACTTTTTATGTTGTCTATCAGTTGTAGGGCTATAGCTAACGGTGCGTTCAATGTTGTTATCTGTCATTTTAAAAGCAAATAATTAGTTATAATAATCGTTAAATCAGTGAATATTTTGTGAAAAATAATCTAATTTCAAGAAATGTGTGTCAAATGAAAGTGCAGTCAAATATTGACAATTAATTCAGACTATTGATTGCATTTGTTTTGTACGATTAGAAAATATGCGAAACAATAATTGTTGTCTAATTAGTAATTACTGTTAGTTTCAAACAAATAATAATAAGGAAAACAAAAGTTTTCGACAAAAATTAATCATAGATAGTGTAAATAAATATTTTTACTATCAATTGTTATTTGATATCAAAAACAATACTAACAATAACTAATTATCAAGTTATTATTTATTACAAAAAAAATTTCTCGATTATAACTAAAAAATTAATAAATTTAAACTTCTTATAAACAATCATAAAATGACGACAACTAATGAGTTATTTCTAAAAATGGATAAAAGCATTGTGTGTCTAATAATTGTAATTAAATGCAAATATATATTTAATTGTGACTGATCATTGAGGAAATAAGACTCGTTTTGAAAAAAGCTTTAGTTATATAAATTATATAATATAATATTTGTAAGCATTTCATGCGAAATACAAAAGTCTCTCAATAAAGAAATAATAGTTAATTAATTATTTTAAGACGATTTTCAGACAATAAAAAATAACAAATATTAATGAAATTCTCATTTAAATAAGATTTTGGTTATACTTGAGATGAATTGAAAAGGTTTTCCCATTTCAATGATTTTGCATAACAGGAGACACAGACTTCCCCTTTGATGCCAAGACCTTAACATTAAGAATATTTCCATTTTATACAATTAAAAGGAAAAATCGCTAATAATTTGTTAATGAAATCATAGCCAATATAAGAAAAATTGAAAATAGATACTTAGAGAAATATTATTCAACTAAAAACTTGTTTTTTCAATGTCTCGCAAATTGAAAATATAAGTGAAATACTAGATACTACTCTATCACCAATTTTCCAACAAATCATGTACAGTACTGGTTATATGACTACTACAACGATGTATTTAATTTCAATTTGTACATTGATTTAAAAATGAAGTATAAGAATAGACTATTGTGTTGGAGATGAAAATGAGTACAAATTGAACTATAAAGTCTATTTATAACACATTTAGCAACACTTTTGTATGCCATATGAACTGACATTCAAATAAATCACTCAAAAAAAATAATAGACAATAACTCATTGGATATACTGTACTATTGGGTTATAAATAGAAATATATGTATATATGTGTGCATTATATGTAAGATCAGCTCATTTCCAAAAAATTGATAACTTATAAAATGCTTATAAATCAAACAATTATGAGTTAATCATCTCTTAAAATAGAGATAAAATAAGTTTTAAAGTAAAGTCTTGAACATTGGTTACGAAATACAGCGATAAATGTATGACTACTGGCATGAATGGTGTCTACAAAGTGGACACAAAGACAGACAATGACTGAGTAGATGAGTGAATGGGATGTGATATCATACCTGTAGCGACAGGCCATCGACGGACAGATCCCGGTCGAAGTGAAAGGTCATGCGCTCATTGAATGTGACACTACGGCCACTGTCTGTGAGATTGATGTCATTCTTCTTGATGTACAACCGGTAGACAAATGGACCGATTTGTTGGAGATGCGGAACCGCTCCCGAAGACTGCACTTCCCGGGCATTCGTCACGTTATATAAGTAAAACTTCTGCACAATAGGGACGGGTAGGTCTCGCCATAGAGGCCACGACGGGTTGTCGGGGCTTAAGACCAGCTTCGAGTCGATTATCTTCATTATAACGAGTGGTAGTGTCGTGAGGAAGACGACGCCCACCAACAGCAACAGGAAACCACTGCTTATCCATAGTATCGACGACTTCTTCATGGCTCTCAAGTGGTGATAGTAAACGGTGGCAACAAATTGAGTGTCAAATCATACGATGATTATTACGGTTAAGCCATCGATGGTCTGCACACAGAGTGTGTGTTTACAATGCAATGCAATGAATATATGACTGAATATATCACTGAATATATGACATAAGATATCATGAATTGATAACACAATCAAAAACTACATATAATTCAAATGAAACATTAATTTTGGC